GGAAAAACGAAGTAATGCATACATGCACAGTTTCGGTTCAAAACCGAAATAATGCATATGAGAAAAAGGAAGTAATGCATATATGCACAGTTTCGGTTCAAAACCGAAATAATGCATATGGGAAAAACGAAATAATGCATACATGCAGAGTTTCGGTTGAAACCCGAAGTAGTGCATATGGAAAAAACGAAGTAATGCATACATGCACAGTTTCGGTTCAAAACCGAAATAATGCATATGGGACAAACGAAGTAATGCATACATGCACAGTTTCGATTCAAAACCGAAATAATGCATATGTGAAAAACGAAGTAATGCATACATGCACAGTTTCGGTTTAAAACCGAAATAATGCATATGAGAAAACCCCGAAATTATGCATATGCACACTTTCGCTTGAAAACCGAAATAATGCATATGACGAAAACCGAAATAATGCATACATGCACAGTTTCGGTTCAAATCCGAAATAATGCATATGAGAAAACCGAAGTAATGCATATATGCACAGTTTCGTTTGAAAACCGAAATAATGCATATGACAGAAACCGAAATAGTGCATATATGCACAACGCATATGAGAAAAAAACAAAATTATGCATATGCATACTTTCGGTTATAATCCGAAATAATGCATATAAAAAAAACGAAGTAATGCATACATGCACAGTTTCGGTTGAAAACCGAAATAATGCATATGAGAAAATACCGAAATTATGCATATGCATACTTTCGTTTTAAAAGCGAAATAATGCATATGAAAAAAACGAAGTAAGGCATACATGCACAGTTTCGGTTCAAACCCGAAATAATGCATATGACAAAAACCGAAATAAAGCATATATGCACAGTTTCGGTTAAAACCAAAATAATGTCTAAATGCACAGTTTCCATATGCGCAATTTCGGTGCCCCGTTCAATTTAAGTAAAACAAAGTTTCAAGTCGCTAGTGGTGCGCGTTTTCTTCCATATAACGCACGATCAAAATCTATGAAATTGAACGGGCTACAAAACTGTATATTCGAAAATTTTCTAGAAATTCTGAATAAGTTTTTTTGACGAAAATTTGTGGAATTTTGTGAACTTTTTTAAGTTTATATACCTAATGCCACTTATTTTAATTTATAGGTGATTTTAATTTTCACTTTTCGAATCTATAATTTATATATGAGTGTCTGTTATATACATATTGGCATATTGTGCTACATTTCTACAATTTAAAGCCTCCACTGAGTTTATTGGAAGAAAGTCATAATACAAAAAATTCTTTGAGTTAATGGCCATCAGCTCTTCCTTTAATTTGTGTAAAAAATGTACACTGCCGGAACAAAGCACAGCAAATTTTTCACAATATATGCAACAATTTTTATTCTAATATTTTGCCGCCAATTTATTATAAAAACTTGGTTAATTCTACAACAAAAAAACATAAAAATATAATTCCTAAACTTTGTGCAAAATTCGCGAAAATTCACCAAATTTTCAACTGATTGTAGCCCAATCAATTTTATTATAATAAAGTACAAGTTTTAAGCAGCTAGGAATTACCGTTGATTTTTGACATTTTTTTTCACACAGTCTTTTCCAGCCAAAAACTTTTGTTCGAAAATACTTTATATGGAAAAAATGCAAAACACCTTCAACAAAAAAAAAAATTTGTCAAAAATCAATCTGTATTTTTTCTACTAGAATTTAATGGGCTGCATACTCAAAAAAATCTGATTAAAATGTTGAAATTTTGCATGAAAATTGCTGAATTTAGCACGAAGTTTAGGAATTATATTTCTATGTTTTTTGTTGTAGAATGAACCATATTTTGATACAAAATTGGCGGAAAAATATTAGAATAAAAATTGTAGCATATATTGTGAAAAATTCGCAGTGCCAATACTTTGTTCCGGCAGTGTACATCAATATGTTTCAATTGTTTTTCTTACCTTGAATTTGTAACATTTGGTGATGTAATCTTTGCTGTTGTTGAAATTGTTGCTGAGATGAAGCCACACTAGGTTTTCCACTTGCTGCTTGTTGCCTTGAATAAGGAGATACCGTATTCTGTATAATATTACCCATTGTCACGTTAGGTGTAGGATTTACAAACTGCCCTCGGATATTAGTTCCTCGTTGTTGGAGATAATCTGAATTGTTGTTTCTCGGCCCCATTTGATTGTAGGCGCTTACCATGTTAGACGCTTGAACCTGGCCACTTCCTCCGTTATTTATCATTCCTTGCTGTTGATATTGATTAAAATTATGAAATGGAATATTTGCTTGATTAATCAGGATCTGATTGCCATTGGCAGAGCCTAAGTTAACATTCTGTTGTAAAACATTCCCTGATCCAACTATTCCAGATGCAGATTGTACATTCATAAGGCTGTTTTGGTTATTAGATGAAGTGTTTATGATGCCCGAATTTGACGTTATTGCCATAGCCTGGTTGTTAATTTGAGTGTTCATATTTAGTGCAGTAACTTGCTGCGCAGGCATAATGTTACTCTGATTAAGGCCCTGAGAGATATTAACTCCGTTAATACCACTGGGAAGTTGATTCTGAGTCGATGTTATTCCACGCATACCTCCTCTAATAAATTGCTGTGATACAGAATTTATAGGCCCTTGTGTTTGTTGTCCTTGTGACTGCCGTATCTGTTGATGTTGCTGAATTGCGTTAAATGATGTTGAGTTATTTTGATTAAATGTAGGTTGACGCTGTCGTAACATATTGCACAAAGCTTGCTTAGATTGGTTAAGTTGTGGTCGTTCAAATCGATTTACTGCTACCAAAATAAGAAACAATGAGCGAACATTGAAATAAAAATAGAATCCAAATAATATATTAAGGGTTGGGCCGAAAATTTAATTTAAATTTTTAATTTATATTCATTTATTTTAAGTGCAATAATTAGCGCATGGATCCCCAAGTGACACAAAGCAAACTGTTCAGAAAAGATTAATTTTGGGTACAAATTCAGGGCTTAGGAAACGGTTCAGTTGTTTTATTAGAGACTAAATCCGGGAACCGAAATCGTAAAGTCATATAGCAGCCATATACTTTATGATAACCCTTATTAGTTATCTTTTTTTAACAAAAAATTTATTGTTCTGTTTCGCTGCCAGTGCAGGTCTACAACAATGTGTGATAAGCCCTAAAAGGGCACGAGCTTCGTTGATATGTTACTAAAGGACACAGCACCCTGAAATTTTGCATATGGAAACTGTGTACACGAAATATGCATATGAAAAAAAAAACAAGTAACGCATACATTTCGGTTGAAAACCGAAATAATGCACATGAGAAAATACCGAAATTATCCATTTGCATACTTTCGTTCGAAAACCAAAATGATGCATATGAGAAAAAAAACGAAGTAATGCATACATGCACAGTTTCGACTCAAAACCAAAATAATACATATGAGAAAAAACCGAAATTATGCGTATGCACACTTTCGTTTGAAACCTTAAATAATGGGGCATATTTATAATAAACAAAACAAAGTCGACTCTACAGTTAGTGGCAGCTTTTTGACCATAAGTTTCAATGGAATTTCTGTCAAAAAAGCTGGAAAAAATTGTAGAGTGGACTTTATTTTGACTATGAATATGAGTCAATTAGTGTTGGGAAGTATCGAGTACTTTTGAGGATCGAGTTCTTTGGTATCGATACTTTTAAAGATCGGGTATTTTTTAGAGTACTGAGTACTTTCTTCAGTAACATTTAAATACTTAGGCTGTGTGCGAGTTGACCTAAATTGTAGTACCTAAACTAATATTCCACTGGAAATTTCCAGCACTGCTAAAATTTAGGAAACAGCTGCTAAAACTGGGCGAGTTCGTTTGAAAACCTAAATTGTTTGTTTTGGAATTTGAATTTGTTTGGTTTTAATAAATATATCTATAAAATGAATAATTTTGTGGTAGCTTTGGGACTATTTAACAATATAATAAATTTGCAACAGAAACGGAGAATGCTCCATCCTGGCATCTATAAAAGAATCCGTTTGCTCTTCTGACCCTGCGAAATAATATACATCCATCGAATTACACATATACTTATCTGAATGCAAAAATCAAATAAATTTATACTTACATCTTTCTGAATATTTTCTTTTTTGTGCCATAGCAATGACAGAAATTATTTAAAACATCAAAAAATCGTTGCTCACTTAATCGCTCGCTCAAATATATTTGACTGTTCAATTTAGGTTGAAAAGTATGCTCGCAGAAAATCTAAATTGTTCCTATTCACTGCGTTACCGACACTTTCCAGTGATTTAGGATTTTTCTCTATTTAGGTAGCAATTTAGACGTACTCGCACACAGCCCTACTGTAGAAATTTCACTAGCTGGCAGTACTTTATTCAAATTACGTCAAATGAATGGCTAACTGTACTGGGTACAAGTATTGTACTTGAAAATTATTGAAACTGCAGATTGAGTACAATCATTTCTGAATACCGTTAAATGTAAATAAAACACAGTACTTTGTAAGTCTATTCGATACTTAGTACTGAGTACTTTGAATCGATCATTAGTATCAAAGCGATTATTGGAACCGAGTTTTTTTAGTACTGTACTTTCGAGTTCTTTTAATTTCTGAGTACTTTCGAGTTCCTTTTTTGAGTAATTAGTACTTTCGAGTTCTTTCTGAGTACTGAGTTCTTTGGAGTACACAGTATCGATACTTTTAAAAATCGGGTGTTGTCGATCCTTTTGAGAATCGAGTTCTGAGTACTTTTGGCATCGATACTGCGCAACACTAGTCTCAATGTATCTATAGTAGGGATCAAACGATACCAAGTTTTTTTTTTCTTCGATGTTTTTCAATCCGATACAAACTAAGTATCGATATCTTCTTTCGATGCATTGAGAAAACATGTATATCATATCATCTATAATAAACACAACCCCTTAGAAGGGTGTGAAATTATACATATGTATGTATTAGAGAGCTGCATGAATTCATTCAAAACGGCTTATGAATTATTCATATCGTTGTTTAAAGTACGAAACAACAACAAAGTGCAAAACCGCGTATGTGAAGTTGCATAAATTAGTAAAATACTCATATTCCAAAGTGGTTCTCTTTTTTATAACTAGTATATTTTATAGTATAGTATTTTTTCTGACTAGTATATTTCAGGAGGAATGGATAAGGCTTGAGCCAAGAGCTTGTGTGATTAAATCCAATTTTTGGCAAAAAATGTCAGTTACGCGGTTTTGCAGAACGACGATACGCGGTTTTGTACTTTAAACGACGATGAGTGAATACCTGTTCTGACATTACAATATCCAAACAAAGTGAATTGAAATAAATGACAACTAGTAATAATACCCGAAAATTGGGGTGCTGCATGGTCTAAAAAATCTGCATATTTCCTTATTATAAAAATCACATGCATTGCTTCTGGTAGTTAACTTTAACTTTGGTATTTTGGCAAGATTATACTCTACTCAATACGTATATATACAGTGACGAGCAAAACTGTAACATGGTGTAACACTTTTTATTTCAGCCACCGCTATCTTTCCAAGTTCTAACGACTTTCATACTTTTGTTGTATATTCTTATTGGTACACCCCTACTCCCTCTATCATAAAGATTTGAAGTCAATCCAACAACAATAATAAAACCAGCAGACAAAAATGTAAATTAAGGCATATGTTACAGTTTTGCACTTATATATTTTTAATAACTTTTTGACAATTGTCACGAAAAAAAGAATTGTTAACACAATGTTCAGTATTATTTTGCTTTTTTTAGTTCCTGGATGCAATTTGGCTTACCTTATTTGTATCTCTGTAAAAATTCTGGAGGTATAGCCTCCCATATATCCTTGGTTTGCTTTCATAGCTCATGTACTCCATTGGACGGACTTGCATACTTAGTAAGCTGCGCTTTTAGTTGATTTCGCAAATTTTCGACGATATTCATGTCCGCGGATTATGGAGGTCATTTCAAATTTTTGCTTTTGTTCCAGTCTTTGCGAACATGTGCAGTGTGTTTTGGGTGATTTTTCAGCAGAAACTCTCATTTTTTCGACTACATCTTGCAAATTTTGTTGAAATCTGAACAGATACCGTTCCTTACGCATAATGCCTACAAACGGACCAACAACATTTTTGAAATACAACCCCAAACTATTAATGACCGACCACTGTGATTCACAGTTTGCCTTACATGATGCGCTTAGGCTTAATTTGGGTCTTTGATCCAATACCATGCCCGGCCATCTGATTGAAAGCGATTAATTTAGTCTTGTCAGACCAACTAACCTTCAATTAAATCTTAAAAATGTGTTTTTTTATTCCATTCTGTAAGGGCTAACATATCCCAATAGGCAACGGTCCGGGTTTCGTGCGATCCGGCAAAATGCTACCACTCTCGCACATGTATTTTTATCAAAATGGTTTTTTCTTGTTTTATTATGCCTTTGCGTTCAATTTGACAATTATTCGCCTCGCTGTCTACTGTAATGCGATCAAGCATACATGTGCAACCCTACAAATCACCTTATATGAATTCGCCTAAGGTAATAGATTATATCTAAGAATTTACGATATTGAGGATGCAACCCTGTTGTATCTGCGAAAGCAGCTAACTTTAAGTCTTTGAGTGAAAATAAAATTAGCGGCATTATTCCGCGTACCCTAAAAGCGACCAGTTGTATTCTAATTAAATATCCGGGAATATACTATTGAACTTAGCCGGGCATCCAGCCTCCCAACCAGACACCAGCTAAGTTACCAGCAGCCACTCGGGAGTGTGCGAGACGAATTCCTGCAAATTACAAAGTCCCGCAGCAAGCAAGCGACTCAGCAGCGGACCTCCAGGACTCCTTGTAAATGTCGGCGCAGCAGCGGAGCGCTAGGGCTCCCCACAGCGCGGAGGTTGCAGGTATGCCCCCCCAAATATGGAAGTGGAAGTTTTCCGCTTCACATGGCGACCGTGACATGCAATTATTATTTTTTTTTTGGTTTTGTTTTTTTCCCTCTTTTGAACTAGATTTCATACTGAAAATTTGTACATTTCAAATTATTGCTTTGTTTTTTGAACATTTTTTATTTATGTAATAAAAGAAAAATTAAAAGTAATTATACATGCGTATATACATATATAATAAAATTTGTTTTATTTTATTTTATGGATTCTATTTTTGTGTACTGTTTTTTTCTTTTTTTGTGATTTTGTCGAAAATTGTTACGTTGAATCCGTCAATATTTGTTATGACGTATGGACCTTCATATATGTTTGTATGTTTATCGCGCGGTTCCTTTTGAACTAAAACCGTATCATATAAATGAACTATTAACGGACGCGCGGTCTTGTTATACACCGTTTGGTTTCGAGTTTTATGTTTGTTAATAAGTTCTTTTGCAAGCACGTGTGATTTTTGCATTCTGTATTTGATTTCTTTCGAATAATTATCAATGTTATATATCGGAACCATTTTTACATTTTGTAATTCGGTTGGTAAAGTTGCTTTTCTACCGAATACTAATTCAAATGGTGAAAGTTTTTTATCAAATACAGAACTTGTAGTTGTATTGTGCAAAAATGTGAAGTATTTCAAATAAACGTCCCAATCGGACAAAGTTTAATCTAAATACGCGCGTAAATATTCATTAAAGACACGGTGGTTTCGTTCAATAGTACCAACGGTTTCATGGTGATGTGCTGTCGAGAAATTGTGCTGGATTTTTAAAAGTTTGGTTAATTCGGAAAAAAGTTCGTTTTTAAACTCGGTGCCCAAATCGGATTTTATAGGCTGC